TACGAGTACAGCGACATGTTACAAGTGTTTGTCAATTACATGCTTTAACTTTTTTGAAAAAGTTAAATTTAGGAGTGTTCATAGGTTGATTTTAGGTAAATCTTCTGCGGTCCGAACCTCAAAAGGAACTAGGGTATTCATTTAGTTCAAATTAAAAATATTTAAGCAGTAGCTTGTATGTTAATTCATTCGATATATGAAAAGTGGATCCGGCAACCAATATCACGTATATATAAGAAAACATAAAAACATAATTAACCAGTGTTACGGAGTCAAACAACTTTTAATTTGACTCCGACTCCAAACCCGATCCGACTACTAATTACTACTCACAATCTAATGAGTAATCAGTATGAAAAGAACGAATGTAGGACAGGACCGATCACTTTAGTTGGATGAAAGATGAACTATCAGGATTTATGTTGCAACAAAAATGTAGCATGATTGTTACACCATTTACGATTTTTACATGAAATTATATATGGAAGCAATGTAAGTATCGGCCAAACAATTTCAGATATATGCTCGTTTGAAGGGTAACATTTCGCAGTAAAAAAAAATATTTCGTTGTTTTTTTTTGTTTGGAGCATTCAGTTGTGAGTTACAGGGTGTTAAAATTTGAAGTTGACAAATTTTTTATTTTCAAGATTTTAAATGGGCTGGTAAATGAATACCAATGCTTCTTAATGTTTGTAACTTTGCACATATATATTTGAAAATTTAAAAAGGAAGAAAAATATTTTGACCACAAGCTATGTTAAAAAATAAGGAAGATCTTCACCGATTGGCTTTATCCAAAATTTGGGATCGATTCGATTATTAGTTTTTGAGTTATCGTGCCCGCCATTCGCTTCGAGAAAAATGCGTTTAACGTTTGAGAATCACTCTTGCCGTCCGTTGGTGCTGACACAATAAATCGGCTATATCTTCAAGAGTTCTTGAGATTTTCACTTTTCGCCCTAACAAAGGCGAAAAGGCTAGCCAAGCGGCCAAAAATGTGAATAGTGTTTATGGTTCCGATACTGTAACAGCCAATTTTGTAAAATTTTGGTTTCGTAAATTCCGTTCAGGAATTTTTGATAAAATCGGAAAAATGATCGAAGTTGACCGGCACGTCAGCAGTTGTAACAGGAGCTAAAAATTGATCATAAAACTGTTTTAAATCATTTAAAATTGATCAGAATTGGCCAACAGGAGAGGTGTTATGTTCCACCAGGCCACACACAACTACAGTGACTTGCCAGAAACTTCGGGAGCTTGGTTGGGAAGTTTTAATACATCCGTCATACAGTCCGGACTTGACACCATCTTTTTCTTGCATTGCAAAATTTCTTTAATGAAAAGAAATAGGTATCTAGGGAGGATTTTGAAAATCGACTACAAGAGTTGTTTGCAAATAGAGAGCAGGACTTCTATGAGAGAGGCATTATGAAGTTACCTTTAAAATGTCAAAAAATCATACAACAAATTGGTGCATATATGGCCCAAACGGGCATTCAGAAGCATGTTAAATAAAGTCCTATAGTTCATACATAAATAATGGATTTCTTTTTTTCCCAACCTAATTTTTCTCCAAACTAATATTAGTCCTACCTTCAACCAAATCGGCTGTAATTTGGTATTATGTGTTCGCATTGTGTAAAACATATTCTTATAAATACTGCTCCACTTTTTAGGGTAGCCCCCATATAACGGAACCCCTAATTTAAATTTAAATAATTTTTATGCCCATAATAAAAAAGTTCTACCGGCAATTTCCACCCACTCTATTGAATTTATTATCTTTCTTGCAGAATCGTAATCAACGTCCCCGTTTATTTCATAAACCCACCGCTGTAAAAATAGGATCTCTGGCCAATAGCAGGGAAGTAGAAAAAGATCGAACATTACGACTTATTTTTTTCTTTTTTCTTGGTATTTGCTGTTAATTTCAATAAGAAAATACATTTCTTAATGGAAATAAACATATTTTCCTGGAAATTTTCATGGTATAGTTATGATATTATATTATGTCAACAATTCTTTAATTGTTTGTAAAAACCTCCTTTATCTCTAAAGAATTATTTCTATAAATACAGGTCTATCACCTCTTATCTGTGTATTATTTTTGGTCTCATGGCCTTGGTTTAACTGACGTTTTCTCCTTTTTGTTGCTAAATTGTCAAAAATTATTTCCGTATTTTTACGAAAACAACTTCATATTACAAATTGTATAATATAATTATTATTCTTACACTCTTATATCAATATTATCTAATAACATATTAATAATCATATTAATTTTTTGTTTTGTTTTTTAAACAAAAAGTTATACACTTTAACAATAAGTCATTTGTTCGATATAATAACTATAAATCACATTGCAAAACTAATTACATATTGGTTAATTGTTATTCGCGAACAGCGAAATAGGTTATCGGCTAAAAAGTTTGGCAAAAACAAAAAAATAGAATAAATTATAAATTCAATTAAATCCAAATAATGTCTGGACGAAAAGAAAAATAAACTGTGCTAATGTTGTAACACAATTACCAAGAAAGTAAACCAAAATTACGAAAAAACAAAGCCCCAAAATTCCCATAAATAACATGGGTTAATTACATTAACGTGTATGTAGTAATAACTTTCATTTGCTAGCCAGCTAACCAACTGACCGCAGTAAAAAAGCAAAACTTTACAACAATTGTGTTATATTTTAGATTTTATATAATTACTACAAAATAATACATACACACATATGTACATTACTTGTTAATTTTTAATTTTGACGTTTTTAGTGGAAATTTATTCTTTTAGATCGTTGCAATGATTGTTGTGTTTTTTTGTTTCAAAATTTAATTTCTTTTGTTGAACGAAGTGAACTTTTTTATTTTTCCGCAATTAAAAATAATAACAATTTCCAAAGCCTAACACACTCACATCACTTGAAAGTGGCGCATTTTTTGTTAGTGTGTTAAAAACACGAAATTTAGTAATATGTTTAAATTTTTTATTTTATTTTGACTGCTTGTCTGTCTGGTAGTTTAGCTGTCTACCAGCCATCAACGTTTTGGTTTCTTGTAGGCTTAGCTTCGTTGCGCTAATAATCATTATCACCCAAAAGCAAATGTTAAAATATCATCATCGTCTGGTGTTAATGTAATAATAAATTGTAACTTTAGTGGTTATATAAAGTCGGTCATATTAAGTCCTAACGTGATTCATACTTATATGAAAATAAGGTGAAACTTGTACATAAAATCCATCTGGACTTTTTATGGAACTATTCTCCATCATTCAATTTGGAAAATTCGGCTAGGACCTTGAAAATACCTGGACTATATTGTAATACGGACTTATATATAAAAATTATTTTAATACTAAAATTGAGTAACTACGGCTGATAAATCAAAGTAACTGGGTACTTTATACGGGTACTATACCCTGGGTACTTTATACGGGTACTATACCCAAAGATTGAACGTTATTTGCAAATTTTGGTAGGACGATTTTCAAAAAAATTAGGAACCTAAAATACAAAAATATATAATTACAGAATATATCAAAAATGTATTGTACTGTTATATGAAAGCTATATCAAAATGTGGACACATATTGATCATTTTTGGTAGGAAGATTTAACACCTAAAATATCAAATAAGACCCAAATCTTATCAACCGATTTGCTTAAAATCTCGAAAATACCCAATAATGAGGGATACGATTATAACGGATCAAACCAGATGTTCTACTCAATAAGAATCCACAATATAAAACTACAGATAACTTAGTGACAAAACGTAACCAAAATTGCCATAAGTACCGAAATTAAGGAGATACGTTTATAACTGTTCTATCCTACAAAGTGGACGAATATTGAAATTTTTGTTGGAAGGAAGGATTTGCTATTCGATGAACAACCTAATTTCTATTAAATATGTCTGTCATTGATGCCATCCTCCTAAAACGACATTTTGTGGCAAATGTCGGTAAATAATTGAAAACCTCTAAAAAATCAATAAATTTGAAATTAGTCTTTATTGTACCTTTACTCAAAATTGAAGACCATATTTTCCAGTATTTTGTTGGGTCTACAAATTTCATGTGTTCAGTGACCTATTGTAAAATTTTCCGAAGAACAGTTTTTCTATTGACATTATTCTTCTATAGTCACATTTTGTGGGAAATATCTGTCAATGCAAACTCTCCCCTTTGACCGACCTAAATCTGGAATATTGGTTTGAGCGCATGACCTATCTATGACCTGCAGAATGGCTTGAAAATCTGGTCATCTTCGTCCTCAAAATTTTAGCTAATGACCGGAACCACCATTTGATGTCTGCGAACGTAAGTTGTCTTAGCGAAGACACGAATCACTTGCATTACCCTGTGGTTCCCAAAGGGTTAATTGTAGAAATTAATTTTACACGATTTAAACGACGAATCTGAAAAAATACAATATATTTGAACAGATAGAAGCTACTAAACGTAAACTAAGTACCAATAGCTAAGTTTATCTACCAGGACGACCGTGAGGAATCTGTGTAAAAGTCCCATATTGCGCAAAAACTGAAACCGATGCAGTATGGAGGTCTCGGGCTGGACTTTCAGAATATATACACCATCCCTTTGTGGTGGAACTACTAAAAGGAGTGTACCGATAATCCATTTTCAAGCAGTATACACCGGATGGAGTTAGACGATATCCCCAATCTTCGAACTTGATTTAAGTGTAGAAAACATATAACTATGTGCGAAATTTAGATGAAATCGGCGACACCATTTGGGAGTCATTGGGCACAACTTCCGCGCAAACAGAAATTTTTAAATCGACTCTATGTTGTCTGAAATGGATTTGGTCCAAATCTATTGGTGGTCTAAAACCAAAAATCTTTAATCTGTTTTTATAAATAATAATTTAATTAGACAAAAGCACACAGCAACGAGTTCCTTATTTCATAGAGATATATAATTTGTATTCCACCATTTTATTTTTTTGCAAAATTTTTGCCCGAACTTACCCAACATATTATTTTCTTTGGCATCTTCGCAGCGTCCGACAACACGAATAACTCCTCGGCCAGCTACTGGGGAAAATGTGACAATACCACCAATTCTGGCAATATGGGGTGGGACCCGGGGATCTTCCACCAAAGGTAGATCGACTGTGTTATTATTTCCATTATTATTGTTGTTGTTATTATTATTTCCGTTATTACCGTTACTGCCGTTATTGGCAATATTGGTGATGTCGTTACCGAAAGGACGCATTTTGATAAGATTTATTTATTTTTTTTTACAAAACAATTTATTGTTATTATTTTCTTAAATGTTTTCACTTTTACTATTTCACAATTCTTATTACAAAGAATTTTTAAAATAAACACAAATTTGTTAAATTTTTTTTCTGATCTTTTTAAAATTATATTGCACTTTAATTAAGTTTGCCTATAAAACATTTGCACTGGTTATTTTATTTAATTTTTATTTTTTAAATAAATAATAAATATTTTTTTTTATTTATTTTCTTTTTGTTTTTCAGTTACAAACCGCTTGGTAAGTCTTCCGTTTTTCAAATGTTCCAAAAGCTCTTGCATCAGCTGTTTTTATACTGCGCAAAACAAAAACAAAAGAAAGGAAAATTTTACAGCGACAACAGAGAATGGAAGAGCGTCCAAAACAGAAAATTGAGCACAGACAAAAAAGAAACAAAGCATGACCATTGCGGTGACGCTCATTTGTATATCTTTTGCCGTGGTGTCGATGCAACTCTGAACTTATATTTTGTGACCATGTGTAAATAGCCGGTGAGAAACGTAAATCCACTGACAAATTAACAGATGAGAGCGTTTTTGTAGTCATCCATTAAAATACGAATTGCCTTCGGTGTTGAAGTATCTGATACTTTAACGTATTGGGTTCTCTCAAATGATCTTGTTTAGGGTTGTCATATACTGTAAAAATTACATATTAATGGGAAAGCATAAAGTTCGGCCGGGCAGATCGTTTTATACCCTCCATTGCTGTCAGGAGAAAAAAACAGTAAGGAGAGTAGTAAAGTCGGGCTGGGTCGACTATATGATACCCTGCACCACAATGGGTGTATTCTACATTTGAGGGACGTACCACTAGGGGAGACTAGGGCACCTTCGGCACTTTTTGTTTAGAGCTCTATATCTCAGTACTTATTCAGCAGATATAAAAACTTTATGGCTGATTATTGTCCTCTGATACTTAATTATAAAATCTAGTACCAAAAACATATGATAAATTAGTATTAGTTAAATATTTTAACAGTTCTCTCAAAAAAAGTCAAATTCGACGAAAGTGCCTCTACCCCAGGTAACTTCGCCATAGGCATAGTCTGGTAATTATAATTGCTATCGTTGTCTTTGGATATTAGACCCTCTTTGGATATCAGACCCTCTAAAATTTCTAGTTTATTTTCATATGCGACTAAATGTTTGACTCTTAAGGTTATATTTTCTGGAGGCGGACGTTGACGTCTCAAGGCCACATATATCAAAAGAAATAGTTTTTTATACCCTTCACCACACTGTTGTAACAAGAAAAAGGAATCGAGATAGGCCCATGGTTTCTTTTGAGAATACGCATAGAATAACTTTCTGAGTGAATTTGTGCATGTCTGTCTGCCCTTCCATGTATTTTTGTGAACAAAGTACAGATCGCATTTATGATCCGATTTGGATGAAATTTGGCACATATCACTTATTTGGCACAAGGACGAATCCTATTGAAATTGGAGAAAATCGGTTCAGATTTAGAAATAGCTCCTAAATATAGTATAGTCCGATTTGATGAAAATGATACACCAAACTCCCAATATTGGTCCGATTGAGACAAAATTTTGCACAGAGTACTGAATTAGGTTTAGATTGATATATGCCAAGTTTTGTTGAAATCGGTTCAGATTTAGATATAGCTCCCATATATAGTTTCGTTCGATTTTATGTAAATGGAGCACCATACTGCCAATATTGGTCCGATTGAGACAAAATTTTACATGTAGTATTAAACCAAATTATTTCCAGATTTACATATAGCTCCAATATACAGTTTAGTCCAATTTTATGTAAATGGTGCACCAAACTCCCAATATTGGTCCGATTAAGGCAAAATTTTGCACATAGTATCGATTTAGGTCTAGATTGATATATGCCAAGTATTGTTGAAATTGGTTCAGATTTAGATATAGCTCCCATATATAGTTTTTTCCGATTTTATGTAAATATTCTTCCATACTGCCAATATTCGTCTGATTGAGACAAAATTTTGCATAGCGCATTGAAGTTGCTACAGGTTGCCATCCGTATTAAAATTACTGCTGGTTGAAATCCGTGAAGTTATGTAGAAATCGGTTAAGATTTAGATATAGCTCCCATATATAGTTTCGTCCGATTGTTTGTGAATGGTGCACCATACTGTAAATCTTTGTCCGATTGAGACAAAATTTTGCACTGTGTACGATTGATGTATGTTTGTTGGAATCGGTTCAGATTTAGATATAGCTCACATATATAGTTTCGTCCGATTTTATATAAATGGCGCACCGAGGGGTCTAAGTTTGTTCTATATTCTATTTTGTTGTTGAAATATGTTAAGATGTAGCTCCCTCATATATTTCTGTCCGATTTTAAGCGAATAATCAAAATGGAGGAGCCTATGTCTGTTCGTTTTACATGAAATATTGAAGACGAATCAGATTAAGATATAGCTTTCATATATATTTTCATTCTATTTCATCAAAATTACGTACCAAATAAGTAAAGTATTTGTATGTGGTATGTGTATGGGTTGTGTTAATTTAGTTGAAATATCTATGTACTTCACGCAGTTAATTTCGTCCGATTCCATTTCAATTGTCGTCCATAGATGCTATGTCTATGCTACCTAATGGAATTTGTACATATGAGCATCTCTTGAAGGTACCTTTAAAGGTGAAGGGTAACAATCATATATCGCATTTTCACATTTGATCATATATATTATATAAACATTTAAAGGGAATGATATAGCACTTTTTGTATATGGCCGAATGTACTCCACTTTAAAACTCCGAATGTACCGCAAAGGTACTTTCTATAGTCTTTTTTTAATTTTCTCTATCAATATTCTAAAAACATTTTGTAATAAATTATATATGAATATACATTATATTTAACGACTTTTTAATAATACTGCCTTAAATGTTGAAACGTTTTATACACGAAATACTTACGAAATGGAATTGAAATATTACAAAAACCTCTGTAAAAATACAAAAACTAAGTTTGCGAGGCCAATGTATCTCCATTTCCTACATTTAGTCTTTTTTGGTATGGATTCCTGATCCGTTAGGTTCTTCATTACTTATGGTGTTGGTCTCTGGCAAAACATTCTGCATATGATCCTGAGGCATCTGTTTATTAATACTTGTTGCCTTTGCGTGATGGTGTTTGCCATAAGCCAGTTTTCACTGCCGTATAGCTGAATCGACTTTATACATGCTTCAAATATTTTAAAGATGGGTTTCCTGTTTATATGTGACCTTTTCCATACACCTTGACCTATATATGACCTTCCCATACACCATACGCTTTTGTTATTCTATGGATTATGTCAGTTTCTGCGCCACCACTCGTGTTACAGTGCTTCCGAGATAGCAGAATCTCTTGTAGATATAGCCGATTTGTTGTGTAGCATCAAGTGTCGTCAAGAGTAATTCTCAAATTTTAACCCCGTATCTCTTTTTCATCTGGATTTATTTTTCCCCAACCTAATATATGTGGAATGTTAAAAACCTTTACAAGCATTATTATTTGTTTACCAACCCATTGAAAGTCAGGAAAACGTGATCAATATTGGTCCAAGTTTCGGCGTAGGTACCAGATAGCGGTAATCATATAAAAGTTTTAGGTATTTGAAATGGGAGATGACACAGTCGACATTATTATTTTTTAACATATTTCCTCTTGGCAATATTTTAGGGTAACCCTAAAACTGATTTGAATATAAGTAATTATTCTCTTTGCCATTTGCGTAGTTCTTGTTTTGATCATATTTGCAAAATATTATGGCCCAGAGCGTCCGCGAGTTCTCTATGTGTCACCCTTCTCAGAAAACAGTGGCGTATTAATGTTAAAGTAAATCACTTGCTAATGTTCTGATTTCTCTATTGAAGGTGCATTCGCTCGTTCAGCAGGTACATTTTGTTAATTTTAGTTTTCTTTTGTATTTTCACACACACATCCACATGCAAAGACTTTTATTGGTTTGAGTCTTCGTGCACCCGTGTGATCTGACAGTTTTCTTTGTTTGTTATTTCATTTTTATTGTTGTATTCTGTTTTGATTTTATTTAAAGCGTATTATTTAATTGCAGAGTGCAAGAAGTGCGCCAATTTTGTAAACGTGCCAATATTTATTTTTAAACAATTAGAAAATTTTGGCACGCACTTCTTAGATAGTTTCATTTTGTTCTTGTTAAATTTTCGATTTATTTTTACGGGTTTATTTATTTGTTTTTGTTTTCCTTGATTGAAATTAGAAAGCAAGAACGAACGCATTGTAAGTGTTGTTTTTTTCTGATTTTCTATTCTGTTTCTTTAATGGCAACCAGCCGGTGTTGTAAGAAATCGCTCTGGGGATGATGCTGCAACGTAAATGTCATGTGATTACGCGAGAACACGAGTGAATAAGACGTGATGTACATCGGGCTATTAACGTTAAATGATTGACGTTGGCTATTAGGAGCAAGGAAATTTGTTAATCGAGTATATTATTGTTGTATTTGTTGTTAATAAAAATAAAAGCATACAACAAATGAATGCTGTTGTCCTGGGAGGCTTATAATGAAGCCAGCAGTTGCTTATTACGTCCTAATTTATAACCCTTTAGGCCCCGAATTTGTTTCCGTGACTATAGAAAGATTTCATGTATGCAGATTTAATGCAACTGTTCTAAATAGGATATGAACAAAATTTGGCATCGCTACATCCTTGCATTCGGGAGATACAGTACATTAAAATAAAAAAAAAATAATAAAAGTCCAATATCAATCAAGATAACCAAAGGCAATATCGACGAAAAAATTATTTTAAATTACTATCTATTTTATTTTTTACAAAAATCGAAAACAACTCCGATGATGCATTTCGTATAATATAAATATAAATCGATTTAAAAAATTTGGATTGTATACACAAATTGGTACTGTACACATGTTTACCCTCTTTTCTATATTGAAAAGCACATAACTTGACCAAAAATTTGAAAATAAAATATATATATTTACTACC